GAGAGAGAGAGAGAGAGAGAGAGAGAGAGAGAGAGAGAGCATACGCATAATTCAAGACTCATGTCCACATTTACAGAGACAACCGAGCCTTTACTCTGAGATTGCGTTTTCACAAAATTATGTTAGATCTATCTGATATCACGACTCATTTGTGCTAAAGGAAATGTGTTGTAAGTTTAGTGTAGGCCTATTATTGCACGAGAGAGTTATATTCCTGTAATTTTGAATGAGAATTGACAACAAAAACGTTTCAGTTTTATTAAAAGGGGAGGGGGTAAAAAAGAAAGAAAAAAAACACATGAAAGAACAACACGCCATTGTCTCTCAACTGGTTCACGTGCCTATCATTCAATGTTATTTGTCTGCCAATGTTCGCCACAAGTTACGAAGTCAGAAAATCATTTTGTTCACTGACGCGATACGACCTCGGGAGTAAAAAATTGCTGGTCAATAATATTAAATGTACGAATTTGGGCAGGTGACACAGTAATATTGTTAATACTGATCAATGACCGGCGTCTTTAGTTTTGCTGTAGACTCTTCGCCGTTGCACGCAGAAGATATTAATTCGACTCTTGCGTGTGGAATCTTTTTTTCTATTCAGATCGAGCTAGTGTATGTGCATTTTTACTGGTTTGCTATATCCCACGCAGTTCGGATTGGTTCAACCTGTTCCGGCAGGGTACGTCAAAGCAGTCTGCCTACTAGAAGTTCTCAATAAATTTTGTTTTAAAAAAATAAAGTGTAAGTGTAAGTGTATGGGTTTAACGCACCAACCAACACTATTTGTTTTTTTAAGAGGTGAAATCTCCAAATTTAACGTCCGTCTCCTACGGGACCGACCCAAATGGGCCGAGAGCCTTGAAAACTCCACAACCCGACCCAAGTTCAAGAGCACCCAATCTGAGAATCGAACCAGGGCCATCCACTCCGTAGTCCAGCCCGATACCAACTGAACTCGTTCTCAATTGTGTTGAAGGGGGTCTAATCTAAATTAAACATCTCCGTTTTCTTTTTCAAGAGGAATTTTTCAAATATTCACAAAACTTGCATTAATTTACTTTTTTTCCGCTTACGTCGTAGACTTGATTTCCTAGACAGAGCACTGTCAGGGCCGCCGCTCTTTGCTCTCTGTAAAATCTACGATGTCCATGGGCGCACAAATGAAGGGTGAAACATCAGTCTCGGTATATTCGAGAGCTTGTGCAAACTTTCCCTCCTCACCCTTAATTTGGTTCAAAATAGAGTCAAATCATGGTGCCCTCTATGGTGAACCGGAAGTACGTCAGGAAGCACAGTCATGGGTATTATAATAATGACACACATCTAGGCCTATGGTTTACGTCCATCATTCCCACAGGTCCTCTCTGACGAGATCAAGGAACGCAGCAAAGGCCTGGGCTTCGAGCGCTACAAGCTTGTGGTGAGTGTGGTGCTGGGCGAGAGGCGGGAGCAGGGACTCATGATCTCCTCCCGGGCTGCCTGGGACGCCAAACTCGACAGTTACGCCACCTACACCTTCCAGAACAAGTCGCTCTTCTGTACAGCTTCTGTCTACGGCGTATACGCCGAGTGATAGGAGCGGTTGTTTTACTTTAGTTGTTTTTTGTTTTGTTTTGGGTTGTTTTTGTTGTTTTATGTTTACTATGTGCATATTGTCATTACACATGTTCTTATTCAGAGAAACTCTGCTGTGACGCGATCGGTGGTGTGGTAAATACTATTATCAATATCACCATCACACATAGTCAATGACAACCCAGCAGTAGAGTGTACCCTATAATTTAATTAGGGCCTATAGTATGACCTTCTTTTGGCAATCTTTATTCAGGTGAATATATTATTATGACATATGGTTTGGGGAAAAAGCTGCTTGATATGACAGCCACCGCAGAGGAAAAATAGAGGGATACATTACGTTTTAAATTATCATTATTTTGCTTAACTGTAACTGTTCACATTTCAGAAAAGGTCACTCACGTCTTTTGAGTAATTATGTCCTATTCACTGGTACATCATAGGTTAATCTAACAAAGTTTTCTTCGTGCTGCCAGTTTCTTGTACAAGGTGTGTACCGCGACTGTCGGAGGACTGGAGCTTACTTTTAGGATTTGAGATGTGTGTTATGTTTATGAGAATATAATGATTCCTGTTTTACCAGTCCACGTCAGTATTATCAGTATTATTTCTGCAGCCAAAGTGGGGTTTGTTTCCCCGGCATGCTGTGCGTATGTGTTTAATGAGTACGGTTTTTAAAACAACAATGGTGTTTTTGTGAAGCCTTAAAAAGATCTCATGGTCACAGGCTCTGAACAACACATACAGCCTTTGTCGTCATCATCATCACCATCATCACCATCACCATCACCATCACCATCATCATCATCATCATCATCATCATTATCATCATCCACGAAATCTTCTTAGTTAGTATCAACGTCATTATCATGTTCCTATCGTGGTATTATAAAGGTTTCAGTACGGCAGTACTGTTACAAATTGTACTTGTAATTACTATGTATTATATACATGAAGCATAACTTTGAGCTGTTTTCATTTATCTTAAATCAATGCTCATCCTTATCCAATACATTTTCTACTTTGATTGTCATTATGGATTAGGATTTGAAAGAAAATAAAACGTTGCTTTTTAGGGGGTAATTTTTTTAAATTATTCAGCGCGTTGGGATATTATTTACATTTTTGTTCTTGTGGATTCTTGTTTTAGTGGTTCAATTAAGTTATGCGTTCATAATTCACCAGATCTCTTTTACACATACAGTGTAAAAATGTTTAGGGAATACTGTATAGAAAAAAAAAGAGTAAAGGTCTTAAACTGAATGAAGAAAATAATAACATCACTTATGCTGATGACACAGCTTTATTTGCAGCTTCAGTAAAGCATTTTCAATTGTTTATAGATGTAAATACTCTTGTCGCCGAATGTTTTTTGTTTGTAGGCCTATCTTTTTTTCTGGTGAGTGTTTTACTGCTCTCGCAACTACATAAGGTCATATGAGCGCGCGGGACACACTGAACATTTTCAGTTGGTAGGGAATTTGGAATTTTATCCGGGTGGCGGCCAAAGCCAACTCTTATCGATTTTCGACCTCCAAGGGATCTTTAACGTGTGCAACTTGCACACGAGAGCTCAGTGATTTTTAGCCCTTGTCCGAGAAGGCTAGGTGTAGATCTTTCCTACCAGAAGATCAGGGGTGTGGCTGAAAGACAGCAGTAAGAAGGAGCCAAGGAGTAGCAGTAGAAAGGCTGCAGAAAGAGACAGGAGCTCAGAGTCAGAGGAGGGGGGCAAAGGAGGGAAGGGTGAGAGCTGAAAGTGGAGACGAAAGCAGACGACAGACCATTGCTAGAGATCAGGAAAGAAGGTGAAAGGAGACAATTTTAGAGAAGAAACATTTTCGGTCGCTATCCGGATTCGAACCCGGGATCTTTGAATGAGAGGCGACACCTTAACCTCTAGGCCTCAAGAGCCCCCTAGGCCGAATGTGATCGCGATGAGTTAAAGAAAACAGTATTCACGGCATATCTTTAAAAAAAAAGACAAGAAAAAAAAAAGGAGAGGAGCTTCTTTTATAAGCTCGTAAGTGAAGGTGAGAAGATCAAACAAGTTGAAAAATTTAAGTATCTAGGATATTCACAAACTGTTGTTTTGTTTGAGTTGAACATCTTAAGACTTGCGTGAGCCTGTTGAGTGGTTAAGTATTACGCCATTTGTGAAAGATCTAAAAAAGAAGAGATGACAGACAACATAATAGAGACGATGCACGTCACTGTGGACATCGAAAGTGAGGTTTTGCTTTAGTAAGTGTTTTACGGCACTTGCAACACAATAAGGTCATAAAGGTGCCGAAGATCAGAGGTGTTACAAGAGAACAAACACAAAAAAGAAGGAGGGGAGATAATGGCGATAGACGATTGATAGGACAGAATAAGCAAAACACACCAGAACATCCACCAACCACCCTCTATGTGAGGTTAACACACAATAGAGAGAGATACTCAGATAGATAGATAGATAGATAGATAGATAGATGGAGAGAGAGAGAGAGAGAGAGAGAGAGAGAGAGGGAGAGAGAGAGAGAGAGAGAGAGAGAGGGAGAGAGAGATTGGGGGGGGGGGGTATGTTAACATCATTAATTGCATCTAGAACCTACTCTGAAAAAAGAAAAAAAAAGTTAAGAATTAAAGGACGCGATACACAAAACTTAATAGAGTCTACATGTATGTACATGTATCTGAAACAGATAGTAGCCTACATGGAACATAAATAAAATGTCACATTCACTGACAGCCTCGCCTGATCTAGGTCAATGTCATACGGTGCGTAACGTGTAACGTTTATTTGCAAAGCACACAGCATAATAATAGAGGCCTTGCTTGGCCTCACGTTGAAGTAGATTCTCAGCCGGTCAAAGACATCGCTTATCTCCGTGTTAGTAGATAGCACACTAGCTAGACCTAGCTTTCTACACAGTACTACACTGCGAGCACGCTGTCGGTTTATAAAATAATTATAAAGTAAGTTCTTTGTAACTCTCTCACAACACAAGCAGCATGGCGTCACCTGTCAGCACACGAAGAGCCATCTACACAAGTAAATCACTCAAGTCACCATACCTCAGGTACAACAGCTGTTTCTCGGCCAGTTAAGCGTTACTTCGATGTTTCTCGTTATTTGTTGTTGTTTTTCTAATGACCCGAAATGTTGCTTCAGTTTTTAAAGAAATGTTTTAGGGTCCACGAATATGGACTCCAATTTGTTTCAAAGTGAAACTACATGTATTTTCCATGCACGATCAGTACTGATCAGTGTATTTCATTGTACGGTACCAGTGCAGTTTAGAGGATCTAGCCTGTACTGGATGGTACTTATGCTGTTGCGAGCGCCGTAAAACCTTTACTAAAACAAACTGCATGGTACCATAATTCACTGGTGTCTGTGGTGTAGGTCTAACAGTTAGGCGCTTCGTGCCATCTAACGTGGAAGACGCCCAGTTCGATTCCCTTGAAGGGAGGTCCTTGTTAAAAGAGCATCTCAGTCAGTCAGTCTGCAGGGACGTAACATCTCTTTCATCTCGGGGTTGGCCATAACAGGTAGGGTCGAAACAACTCGCCCTCTAAATTAAATAAATGATCTAAAGTGTGCTGATGGGGGCGAAAAACATCGATTAATACAATTACATTTCACTAAATTAATAATTTCAGTTATACAGGGAAATAGTGTGTAGCTTCTATTTACGTTCACATTGCATGTATTATTATGTGTAGGGCACACGTGTATTGTATTATACCTGTACAATAGACCAAGGGCTCCACGCGAATTCTCCCTTCCGTTTCGTTTTTGTGCGTGTCGCACGGCTTCAAATATGTAAATGAGGTTATTTCGCCTGTTCTATTGTTTCACGTCAACCCATTAGGTGATCCGATCCGAGGCCACAGAATGTGAATATTATCGACCTCATAAGTTAATGATACTACACTGATTATATTATATCCCATTGTACTTCAAAAATCTAGAAATCTAGAGTTGTCAATCTCTACTAACCAAATTGAATACTATTAACTTTCGACCCACCATTCTTAAAATGAGTTTTTGAAGAAAAGAAAAAAACGTCTTTTGCCAGGAGGGAGGGGGCGCTTCCAGAAGACAGGTTCTTTGAAAATGGTTTTTAATTTTGGTTATTTTATGTTGCAACGTACAATACTGTGTTTGCTTTTGGCTTGAATCTCTGCAGTTTCTTCTTCAACAGAGCTGTGCGTGCTCAAAGCCATTCGTTTGATCTGTGCCGTGTGCCACTTCTCTCTTTCTTTCCACTTTTGGTACTTTTGGAATGAGCTTCAACAATGGCTGTTGCGCATTCCCGAGCTTTTCATGAGCTATCAAAGTCTCGGTAGGCTTACTCGGTAAACTTCACACATCTATTAGCATTCATTTTCTAAAACCTTATAGGTCTACCCGATCTTCGCTATCTGGGCTGCTGGTGCTTGGATGGAGCCTCTTTTCGAGTCCTACTTCTACTGCTTTTCTTTTTTAATGGTGTATTTGTGTAAGAAGTGCTATGAAACTTTTACTGAAACTGATCTAAACGCACTCCATCTTGCTTTCGTTCCTGACTTAAATAAATGACCGCGTTTTGTATTGTGGAATTCTCTTAAACCAAAACCAAACTCGCAATTTCTTTGCAAAGTAGCCAGGCCTGAAAGTAGCGTCTATCAATCGCATGTGAGACGTGTTGTTGTTATTGTTAATCTCAAGCCGTTTTCTAACTAGAATTCTGACCGTGTCACTGGATGTATTTTGTACTGACTCCATCCCCAGCCAAGCCATCCAGGTGAACAATCTACTGTTTGTATCTGGCAACCTGGGATGGGATATGAACAGACAGGGGTTGGTGCCAGGAGGGGCGGTGCCGGAAACTGAACAGGTGGAGTTATCGGGACTTTTTGTTCTTGTTCCTTTTGTTCTTGTTCACTTTCTTTCTCTCTCTCTTTCTCTCTCTCTCTCTCTCTCTCTCTCTCTCTCTCTCTCTCTCTCTCTCTCT